CAAACTTTACCTTATGATGAATTCAGAAAGAATATTCTCCGGTACTTAAGCTTCGGTGGCTGCTTTTTATCCTGCTTCTAAAATATGGTTTAGTAATTGAATGTGTTTTGTGACAGTTTAATATTTGTAGTATTTAGGTTGTTTTACGGTTAGTTTTAATGTATTAGGTAGCTTGTCAAATAAGGCAGTTAAAGGGGAGAAGCTAAAGCTATATGATATTTGACGTAAGCTTTTATCCACAGTTGCTAAATTCTCTGTCTAATTGTGTCGTTTTGGATAGTGTCTAGTATTCAAGTTCACTGGAGCTCGTCTTATACATCTGCATGGCACACGTATGATGCAACATTCGTCACATAATACTTTTTGAAGTCTGTTAACTGTTAGCTGTAATTGTTTGTTGAAACTGTTATATTATTGTCAGTGTTATAGTATGTTCTTGTTTCCTTTCGCTAAACATGAAATTTCCTCATCAAATGAGCCAAGCTATTGTTCAGAAACCAACTTCTGGTTCACTTTACGGAGGATAGATACGATAGAATCATGATGCCCCTGCCAGAGCGAATTATAGTAATCTCTTGCAAATTTTTTAAACTATCTTCGAAATTCCGATATGAATTCCGAAACGTGGTTAAACAGTTTCAGCAGCCGAAGGCTAACAACTATTAGAATTGTGTGTTAAGTCTGCCTGGAAGAAATTACTTTGAAAATGGTCCTGCTCGGAAGGTCTGAAAGTTACCTTATATGCTCACTGATCAAAGTAGGTATAATTACGAGGCACAAAGTGGGGAGTAGATGGCATTTCTTTGATATAATTAGATCAGCCTTTCCAGCGGTCACTGCATCATTTCTTGAAGTTGATGTTGCTCAGAGTAAAAGTAATTCTTAAGGCCTAACTTTAATGATATATAAATATGTCGGCCATCATACTTTCCTGTTTTTACTACTAATGTTTAGGACAACCTTATTCAGGGTAGGCAACACGTGCCTTGATGAAATACACTTGTGTATCTTATTTAAGGGTGTTCTAGTTTTACTTTTACTCCAACTCATTAAACGCTCTTCCTGAATGATAGCTATGATCAGAGTATCGAACCATATGCCAAGGTTAGTTTGTTGCAATAACAGTCTTATAATTTGCATATAATAAGTTTGTGTATGAGACAGTTACTGCGCCGGTATTAAAAGATTTGAGGACTAATCTGTACCTTATCTTGGGAAAACTTGATACGCGCCGTTATGCATGAGGCGTTCTAAATCCTGAACTCCGGCAGCCACTGATTGTTCGTAAGGTCAACTGCTAGTTTTGAACTGTAGCAATAACTGACAATTAATTATTAAAAAATTTTCGGTACTTGGCCAGGAATGAAACGAATTTTCATGTTCGAGGTTAACTGCAATTAAAACTGAAAGGAACAGCTGTTTTTTGGTTGTTCACCAATGTTTTTCGCTACACACAGTAATTGAAATCTTCAGAATACGTGTATTCATAGAATGTTATGATATGCATATTGTTATTTATATATGTAACGATCTCAAATGCTATACAGTTGTATAAGGGGAAGATTATGAACTATGCTATTTCGTAGCTTTAAGTCGATTTAGTGCGATAAATAATCTTCATGTAATACAACGTGTAATTCAAACAGTCAGCAAATATCTGCCATTTCTTTGCGTGCGATTCGTCGATTTAGAGAACACCTTCGATTAAGTTTCACCCAAACGAACAACGACGTTTTTTGGTTATTCACCGACGTGTTTCGCTACAGACAACCATTGGCATTTTCAGAATGCAAAGAAGCAAAAGACTACAAGCCGTCTTTCCTTCTTTGTCAGTTATCATACATCTTTGGCTTTGCTAATCATGCATCAACAAAATGTCTGCTGATGAATTATGAGCTAAGAATCAACAGTTCTTTAAAGGATATTCACATGTCTCTAGTGTGCTAGATTTCATGCTGCTTGTTAACTTGCTTCAAAGGCTGTGGCGTATTTGCCACTTGTGTATAATGCCCGTTTCGAACCATGGAAGTGCTGGGTTCGATCCCGCTCGAGGGTAATTTTTCTTATTCGCGATCTCCCTTGCACAAGGAATTTGTCACAAGCTACTTCAAAGTAGGGTTACTCTGTTGGTAGAGCATCAGACTCAGAACCGATGGATTCCGAGTTCAAGCCACGATTGGAGTCACTCGCCTTTCTTCCTTCCGAGGTTACAGCTCGGTGGGAAGGAAACAGAATTCTACATACTCTTGCCACATTACGGTAGAATCTGTCTTTAGAAAAATAAGGCAGTCCTAGCAAATGGCATAGAAACGGGGATCAGCACCGCACCTTTAACTTCATGAAAAGAAGGTGCGTCAAGTTGGCCCAGTCATGAAAGTGAAAGAAATCCGTCATACCAACGTTAGCAAACTTTCCTTTTCTTCCTTCAAAGGCTAAAGTTGTAGCTGCAGGCGACTGGATTAACCCTCTTAATTACATGATTCTTCAAAAAGTCGAACACTTTGCACACTGATTCTCATAAGAGTGATAAAGAGAGACAAGTACAAGGTCATTTAAGCGTAGTTCGAAAAATGTGTTCGAATAATTTTCGTCATAACCTTCTGGAATCGTTAAGCTATGTCAAACTATGAATCGTTATGGACGCGGTAGGAAACTAAACCTACTGCGATGCAGTACAAGTCAGAAGTTTATCAGGTGATGATTCTTTGAGGTGCTGCTGTCATTTTGAGTGTGTAATAGGAAATCATGATAGTCTAGTTCAGCGGGGAGATGATCGTTTTGATCTTCGCAGCCATGATCTAAGTTCACGTTACACTGATATTTTTTATTGAAGTTACGCGTAATCCATTATATCATTAACAGCACTGAGTGAATGTAAGGGTTAAAGGAACGAAACTTGCCTTATTTTTGTTTTTTGTTGTTGTTCAGATCACCATCTTGAGCTGTTTGCACAGGTAGAAACATCTCTGGTTTGTGTTGTCCACTGTATTTGCAGCTTTTCTACAATTTTGCCATGAGGCAACGGTTATTTGCATCGCAGAAAGAAATATTACTCCCCAAACGCAGTTTTGCCTCTACTTTGTTCCTTCATGTTGTATGTTAGTCTCAGAGTCGATGTCTGTTTTGTTTCAGCTCCCACTCGAGAAATTTGCTTGCAAGAGTAATGATATATTTTCGGCCAGTTTGTCTAACAGGACTAGCGTTTCCTCTTCAGTTCCTCTTTTCTTACTTGACCTTAACTCGTCTGTTGCTCTTCTCAGTTCAGGCGATTTTGCTTGTCAGGAGATGCCAGTCATTGTCTCTTCCGGTCAGCAGCTCAGCAAGAAGAGTTTATTCAGAGAGTTAAATATGGTGGATTTTATGCAATGCTAAAACGACTGGTACATTATCTTAAGACCAATTTGATGTACCACTTACCATTAGAG